ATATTGATATCTGCGAGGGCAGATGAGCGTTGGAACCAACAATTAGCAGGAACCAACAACAAGTATGACCCACGTACGGAATGAGGCAAGTGATTTGCTACAGAGGTTAATAGTTTTTGAGGGACTGGATCTGGAATTGAACACAATTGGAGCCACTGAACAACATTATCATGAATCGGACGATGATTCTGTGGCATCCCTGTTTATTTGCTGTGTAGTGAGCGTGGTGGCGCCTTAGAAAGCTGTGTGTGTTTGCTTGGCCCCTCTTGGAGGAGGGGTGAGAGTGATCTCATAGGTCTGTGTCACACCTTTTGACAGATGCTACTGCTGCAGACCATCCACCCATCTGGGCTGAGTAGTGAGAGCATGAAGAAGAAAGCCCTGCTGTGCTAGATGTCTTTTAATATCACAGCAGTCTCATTCACAGAGCATCACATCTCTGTACCCTGCTATGTCACAGTGGAGCATGCATACAGTGCTATTAAAAGCAATATAATTACTTTTGTGAAGTGTTGTAGTCACATCAAATCAGTGTCAGGACATGACAGTGCATTTATACAGTTTAATGTAAGCTCTTACTAGCTTTCACCAAACTATTGATCCAGGCTGAAATTACATTTCAAAATAAAAACAATGTGTTGACTATATCATGACTATGATTATGACATAAATTAAAAATATTTGTGTGACAAAAATGTAATGTAAAATGTGAAAATGTCTTTGCCCCCATTTAAACATTAATACAGCACAAGCGATAAATAGCACACCGGCCAGGAAAAAGGAAAAACTGAAAATGTTAGAAATATAAAAACTTATTTTTGGAGTAATTTATCACCTCTAAGGTGACTCACATTTCTTTTTCACATGTATTTCAGATGCATTGTTTTTGTTCTTAAAAAAATGGCATCATATTGTGAAAGTTTTTTTTAGAATTCTAATTTTAAATATCAAAAATAATCAGTTATTAATTCTCCTAGTGTATTTTATCCATCACAATCACAGCTGTTATTCATTTGTGTTATTATAGATGCTGTGAATTGTCAAAGCAGATGGTTCAGTGGATGCATCTCTTAGATGTGCACTATGTTTTCCTTTGACGTGCACCTTTTTACAGAGCCAGTTCTGTTTGTTATCATCATTTCCTCTCTCCTCTATTGGCTTTTAAATGCCCTCAGGGACCAATAAGATGTGTGATTGCTGTACAGTAGAGAGGATGACCAGGCTTGAGTAATCACGACCAGTGGGCACACAGTAGATTGGCCAAATTGGGCAAATACCTGGATGGAGTACAGTGTGGATGGATGAGATCTGCCAAAGGGTAGAGAAATAAACAATGCAGTGGTTGTGGTTTAAATCAAGTGCAGGCCATGGTTGTCCTCATGCAGAGCTGTGGCAAATTGGGAATAATAAACACCACTGATATTGTGCTACTTATATGGAAACTAATTGGTGACAATTCAAAGTGAACTGCAGTTATTTTTTACCGTTTATCATTTGAGCAATAGTGAACAGGAGTCTGTGGTGATGTATCTTTGAATTAATACAGACTTTTGCCATGTCAGGGTTCTGTAGCAGCAGTGTGTCATGAATCATACTGTCAGACTGGGAGGGGAGTGGCTCAGAAACTATGTCATTTAAACAAACTACAAGGAAGCCTGAGACTCAGACTGTTTTGTTCATTTCACACTGAATGAATGATGCTAGTGGTTAGTTTCAACAAAGTGTAAAGTAGGCTACCTGAACTCCGAGTGTTTACTTAGGTAAAAAGAGCAATGCCACAGTTTAAAAATACTCTATTATAAGTAAAAGTCTTGCATTCAAAATGCTACTTAAGTAAAAGTGCAAAAGTATTCAAAGAAAGTAGACTTAAAGTACCAAAAGCAAAAGTATGATGCAAAATGGCACAGTTTACCTTGATGTACATCATATTATTTGATTATGATTATTGATGTGTTATTGTGTAGATCACATTTAACTAATTTTAACTACCTTAAATGCCTATAATTTGAGTTACTGCTGAGTAGTTTGTGGATTTTACACCAAGGATCAATAAATCATGTGATTTTACTGTATTTTTTTATTAACCTCTTTCTGAAAAGTAACTAGTAACTAAACATTGAGTACAAAGTACAACATATTTCTCTGAAATGTAATGAGGTTGAGGTGTGAAGTAGCCAAAAATGAAAATACTTGCACTCAAGTACTGTACTTGAGTAACTGCTTTCCACCTCTGCCTGTATGTATATATATATATGACTGAATTTACAACCAAAAAGTATTCATTTTAAAAATGCCAAATGGTACTTGATTTACAACAGAACTTACAACTTTTCATTTTTTCTTGTCAAACCTAGGTAACAAAGCCAAAGACAGTGTGGGCTCAGGTGAGTTTTCCCTCTTTTAGTCCACCCTTAACATCATTACTGCTCAAGTAAGACCCTTAGTTTCCTTACAGCAACAGGACACACGGTGCTGACTGGAATATAGCTAATACACTGATGGGAGAGGGTTTGTGTGCTGCATTGTGTGTGTACGAGTGGTCATTATGTACAATAATCAGTTGGGAAACAAAAGAAAACATGTCTGAAGAATATGTTGTGATAATGTTACGTGTGTGGGGGCCCACCATGTTTGTGTGACTCCGCAGTGGCTGAGAAGACCAGTGGGGCTATGGGGAACATCGTTGCTGCCACTGGCCTGGGGAAGAAGGATGAGTTCCCTGCTGACATGAATGTATGTATACCAGTACAGTTGCCATTAACCCTGTGTTGTCACACTGTTTCATTCCCTTCACTTTGTTCCTGTTAGTAGGAGCAAAGTGAAGCAAACTGTGCTACATAACCTGTATTTCAGGTTATGTAGCACAGTTGTTGTTCAGGTGTTGACACATCATTGCCGGTCAGTTGTCTCTTAACAGTGAATTCACTGTGACAAATCATTTTGACCTTCACTTGTTGCATCTGTCCAGCAAAACACAGACTGATAGAAATTTAATGCATTTTTAAAAATTTGTCTTGATCTTTCAGTATTTTGGTTGTTCAACTTATCACTTATTTCAGTAAGTGTTTAAGTAATAAATCAAATATATTAAAAAACCCCACCCTCAACCCCTAAACAATGTAGTGTTTCTGTTTAAAAAAAAAAAAAGATTTAAAAGTTTTTTTTTAATGTTAAAATGTTTAACAGACTTTCTCCAAAATAATAGGTCTCATGCCCAAGCCCAACATAACTCTGATGACTTCATCAGAGTTACTTGTTCAGACTTTGGAAAGTCACGTAAAACATTATACAAACATCATGAAGAGTAAATTAAACCTCATATGCAAAATCACTAGAATTCCACTTTTAATTACACACCTATAATAAAATTATGAATAAAATTATATATAAAAACCTCCTTAGTACATGCATGGAAATAATGCGACAGCTTACTTTTACGCTTGCGCACGTGCAAACATCTGAAAGAGAAAAGAAACCTCTATTTCACATCCAAGGCTCACTTACAATTGGCGTCTTCCTGTAAGTTATGTTCAGTAAAGCCTGGACAGGATTGTGGCTGTAGCAGAGCCAGATTTAGACAGCAGGAAAAAACACAGGCTGACAAATCTGTAATCAGAGTTACTGGTCAGCATTTCAACGGTTTTATTTTGTTTGTTTTTTTGCTCTCAGCACAGACATTTTACTATACTTGAAATCTCTTTTGAATTATGGTTTTATTAAAAGCTTCCTCAAACATACAACCAGGAAAAATCTGTAGTCAATCCTGGATATTTAAGTGATACGTATTCTATTCACTGACTGTTTATCTCCTTTGTTCTTTACCTTCAATGACCCATATATCTGTGCAACACTGTCAGTGAAACAGGGAGGTCCTTGTCCTGTCCTGGGCCTTCATCTCTCAGAGGTGGACTCTCTGCCTTGACTGTCTAATCTAGTAAACCTGCTCTAACAGGCTTCACAAAGGCACTAACTCATGTTAACACCTCAACAACAGACTGCTGATGTTGTTATCACGTGTGCAGACTTTTGCTTCAGTTTTAGCTTGTGCCGGCCTGCACCTCTGTTTAACTGTATCCTGCAGATGTTTGAATGAAGAAAAAACTGCAATTACACATCCATTCATACTAGTAAATAATATTAATCTTACAACATTTAAAACAATGCAACCTATATTGTTTTACACAGATAAATGTGCTTTACCATTTATGTCATTTGTATGTAAATGTGTGACTAGTCAGCTACAGTTTATCTTTTCCCCTTTGTTACAGTATAATCACATAAACAGCATTTTTCTTGAGCACTTGGACATGCTAATAGTGGCAATGGACTTAGAGCAATAACACCAGCTTGATAGAGCACGCAAGATTATGGTCTGTTCTTCTGTGATCTCGGCGACTCAGTTAGTGCTGGGCTTAAAAATAAAAGTGTGGCGATCCACTAGCTTTGTTTTCAGGGCAGGTGCAGTAGTAGCAGCAGGCGCAGCAATGATGGAGCAGAGTCTGCTTCACAAAGCTCTCAGAAGGCGAATCAGTATGTTTACACCTATTATGGTTACAAACTGTGAAGTTATCCTACCAACACAAATGAGTATCTGAAGCCTGACATTGTGGATTCCTCTGTCTGTGCCATTGTTGTCCAGGAACTAATAAAAAGGAATCTATGAGTCACACCATTGCACTGGGACGTGTACCATTATTACTAGGAACATTTGCACTGCAGCACCTGTGTAAACTGCCCTGTTGTAATGTACACCAAATGTGTATTAGCCCACTGCTGAAAATAGCCTCCACAATGCTTCTGTTGAGTAACATGTGTTGGAAACCACAGTGGCCAGCTGTTTAAGGAAGTTATTAAAATGGACCTGTTTATATGTTTTCAGTTCAAACTGACTGACTATTTGTGACTATCACAGACAGGATGGGTGAGAAAACTAAAGCATTGCTTTTGTTGCTCATCACTTAATATTGCACCAGAGTCACAAGCATCCAACTTTCTGAACATTAGCTACCCAGCTACATGCTAACATATGTACTTGCAATGACAAAGCTAACGCACCGCTGACGTTAAGCAGGTTTAATGTTCGTCATCTCAGTTGAGCATGCTAGCATTTTCTAATTGGCACAAAATAATGATGAGCCTGTTGGGAATGTTAGCTTTGTATTTGGTCATAAAACAATCTCAATAGGCTTGGTACTGTAGCTGTAAACGGTGTCTGTCTTTGCTCAGTTTGTACAACATGAATCAAACTTAGTTAGGTACTGTATATTGATGTCACTGTTGTTCAATATTTTCAGACATAATTATGCATTCATATTTTGTTGTGTTGTACAAAACCAGAATGGGTATATGTTGCCACAACTTTAGAAATAGGGTAAAAATCTACAAATGACAACAAATACAGTAGGTGCCTCTATCACTCTGAATTCTTCCTTTCCTCATCTGTCCCCCCACTTCTGTCCCTCTCTCTCTCTGCAGCCTGAGGAGTATGGGCAGGAGGCCATGGAGGGCCACGGAGAGGGAATGCTGGAGGCAGAAGGGGAGACATATGATGAGTCCCACCAGGTAATCACCCCGCAAGATACACTCAACTCATAGCTTTAACTACATGATTTTGTAGTAAATACTGTAGCTTTTGTATATTTTCTATGTTAAAGTTTTTTGATGATGACACTTTATTACAGACTCAAGGTCCAGGTTCAAAACAAATAAAAGCAATAAAAGAACAGTTTAAAAACAAAACAATAAAGACAGAAAATACATTAAAACGAGAGCACAAGAACACCCATAAAACTACTGCCCCTTTAAAAGACAGGTATATACCAGTGTTTCCAGAGAACCGAAGTAAAACGCATGTCACTGTGTGCAACATTAGTCAACGATAAAATAATATGATTTTTTTTAACAATTCAAGCGACAAATACATTTAAACATCAGGTTTCTTAAAACAGCGGAAAATGTACTAACTCGAGATGACACGAACAA